CCCTTGATCAATTTAAAAATAAATTTAAAGAAAAACTTTTGGTAATTGATAACGAATTAGACTTTTTCTGAAACTTTTTAATAGGAGTAATCACTTATTTTTTTCTTGTCTTTTATTTTTACTACATTCTTGATCATATTTATTTTTGATTTTGATCGGAATCTTAGTAAATCTTAAACATAAACAATTGTGAAACTAATATGTTTTATAAAACATGTGTTTAGAAATGTGTAAATAAGTGAGTATCTATATATTTCTTGTATATTAGATTTAATTTTATATCATAGTTTTGCGTTTGTATGATAAACTTTTTAATTTTTTAATATGAAGTATTCATTATATTATACAAATGTTGTTGATAATGCTTGCTCTAAACTTTCTTTCTTTTGTTGTTCCTTTTTGTTTCATCTCATTTTTATCTATTTTAAATTTGAAATTTTAATAAATAAAATTTAATAATAATTATGATAATAATAACAATAACAACAATAATAATAATAATAATAATAATAATAATAATAATAATAATAAAAATATATGAACTAACTTGCATATAAGTGTTTCGTGGATCATTTTAAATATGTTTCATAGGGGTCATCACAGTTTTGTTGGGTTTTTTGTTTAGATTTAAAATGTTGAACTTTTTCTATGTTATTTAAAATTTACGACAAATTTATTTTATTCCAACTAACAAATAGAGGAGGATTCGGTATGTTGGAAATAAAGAAGGATTTGGTATGTTATATATAAACAAAGATTTAAGAATAGTAGTAAATAGTAGGAATTAGTAGTTAAAAATAGTAGTAAATAGTAGGAATTAGTAGTATATAGAATTATAGTAGTAATAGGAATTACTGGTTGAAAGAGACGTTTTACACCATAATTGTCGGATAATACCCCAATGGACACGGATGAAAAAAAGACGTCTTTTAAACGTCTTATAAACGTTTTGGACGTTTTTTGAACGCCTTTTGAACGTTTTGGACGTCTTTTGAACGTTCAAAAGACGTCTTTTTTTGGTATCGGTATCCACTGGGACATTGTTTTCTAATTGGTTGCTGTACAAATAAAGTTTTTATTTGTTGTTTAGACAGTTGGTGAGCAACCTTTTATATCTAAAAATGAAACAGTAAAAGTTACTTATTTTCACCCGTAACAATTTTAATTTTTTAAAGTTTCAATGAAAAGGTTCTTCAAAATATATTAATAAACACATCTAAATTGATTGAAATTTACAAATTAAATATTTATATGAGTTAAGTAATATTCAAATAGTAGTTTTTTTGTCTTTAATAAAATTTTAGTTGTTTCATATGTTTCATATGATAGGAAAGTGGAATCACGTATATTAATTTCCAAAAAATTGAAAAAAAAAAAAAAAGGTTACAATAAGTTCAAGAAAAAGTGCGAAAGAATAATATGTCTTAAAATAATTGGAAAACGTGATCTAAGGTGTTGGCTAAAAAGTAGTGGTACCTATACATTAAGCAAGTGAAGTCATTATGAAGAAATTTTTTGGAAATATTATTACTTATGTCAAAATTTGAATCGGTAATTAAAAAACAACTTGATGCAGTTATTGGCAAAAGCAAAAATCGTTATGCAGTTAATATTTTGACGAAAAGAGAAAAAAAAAATTTGATTATGAAAGACAAAATTAATATACCATTGATGCAATAAAAAAAATTCACGTCTGTTAAAAACACGCAGATTAAAACTTGTTTGAAAATTTGATTTCTAAAATCTAATTTTCAAATTAAAAATTATTTTTTTAAAATTTCATAAAAACGCGAGAGTGACTAATTTTAGAGTGGAGCTAGCTTAGCTGAATAGATTTAGTTTCATAAAAACGCGAGAGTGACTAATTTTAGAGTGGAGCTTGATTCAGTTTTAAAAATTTTGATTCCAACTAATTTTTTCTTATAATATTTGATAATTCAGTAGAGGACAGCGTCATAGAAGATTCGGCATATAAACTCTGGGGCAATCAAGATGTGGCTACAAGGCAGGAAGTTTCAAACTTCCTTTTTTTTATTGTGTTTAGTAATATGGAAGATGGTAGGTGACTAACGCAAACCCAAGCCCTTGGCTCTCAGGTCTAAAGCTCGGCCCGCTTGTATGTACAAAATACAATGAATAATTAAAACCGTTTAGATTTTAATTATTCTTTATATTTATTTTTTTTTCAAAGGTTTGATTTTTAACATTTTTGGGCTGCTTGAACGCCAATTCCAATCCTGGTTGAAGTTTTTGAAAAAGATAAACTTTTACATAACTGCCAAAGGTTTGAATAAATAGATTTTTACATAACTGCCAAAGGTTATATTTAAAAGGTTTAAATTTTTTACATACCTACCGGTAAAAAATATGTTTAAAAAACATTTTAAAGTTTGTTTATAGAAGTCTTTTTTTTTTAACACGTCTCTCTGTATAATTCACAGTAAGAAATTACAACAAATATACTTTTAAAACTACACATTGCTATTGTCGTTTCTTATTTTTATGCCATTCTTGAATAGCAATTTTGTTTCAAATAATAAAGAAATCCAGGTTAAAATTTACACTGTAAAAGTAATCCAGATTGAACTTTATACTATAAAAACAGTTTAAACATTTTAGAAAGCTTGAGAGACTCACCAATATTGATATATTAGTTCAACCGCTTTACCTACTCATATAAACCCTAACCACCCACCTACGTGCTTAATACAGAGTGCAACCGAAATTTAATTTTTTTAAATAAGGTTACATAAATAAAATAAAGCAAAAGAGTTTAGCAGATGTTGTTAAAAAGCAAAATGTTTATTTTGTGAAGAACAATTGTTTTAAATATAACTCGTTAATAAAATTATAGGATTTCCGATATAAAACATATGTTTGCTAAAAAGCTTAATATGACATCGTACAATAGGTAATTTATAATTTTTTAAAGAAATAATCCCCACTTGTTTGAAAACTAAAATGTCCTGTTTCTTGTAGTTACGTCGTTGAAAACTGCGCGTGTTGCATTAAATTATAGATGCAAATAAATCATGGAATGTGTTAATAGATTTGTAGGTGATAGTTACTTTAATATGAAGTTTCTCGTATAATTTAGATAACACTATGTTGTATGTTTAAGATAATAAAAATTTTTAATCTCTTGCAGAATACAGATGATTTCAAACGTACATAACATTTACACATTTTATTTTTATATTAAAATCTTAATATTCTTTTGTCCAAAAAAAAAAATGAAAATAAACAAATGCTTTTTTTAACAATGATTGCAACAATGGATTTTTTTTTCGTTTATATAAATTTACAGGTTTTTTATATATATTCAGAAGTTTTTAGCCAAAATTTTTTAGTTAAAGAAATAACCTATATAATTGTTTTTTTCCACAAATTATTACAACTTATATTGACTCGTCTGTACTCTAACCAGAGTAATTTATCTTTTATGAAAAATTTAATCATTAAATACTATCTTATCTTTTATCTCTTAGTGCTATTATCTAAATTTATTATCTTGATATCGAGCAATACGAGGTAATTCCAAAACTACTTAAATATTTGAATTTAATTAATTGTTTGCGATATGATTTTAAGGCTCAATCTTACTCTTTTTTTAGCTAGTTCGGCCATTATTTTATATTTATAAAAGCTTACTTTATTTAACATATTAATTCTGATGACAAAACTAAAAATTTATTTATAGCTTTTTTCATTGAAACGAGTTCTTCCTTAATTTATTTAAGATTTTAAAACGGAGATTAAGGTGTATTGAAAGTAACGAAACACAAGCTTGTTTTACCAGTCATTAATAATAAACGGCGCTTTTGGCGCTAGATTTTTCTTTGTTGCGATAGTTTAAACGCGTATCAACACAAGATTTCGTGCACACACTCTCCTTTATTTTGTACTTTTTTTCAATAATGTATAATGAGATAGATGTAAAATGCTCGTATACACAAACAACGTACAATACTAACGACGATAATGCTTCAACACAAAGATTACAATTTGTCGTGAAGTTGTTTTGAGCACGTGACGTAACAGGAATTTTTAAAAAATGTTTTCTTTTTCACAATTAAATGATTTCAACGTCTTTGCGTGTTTTAGGATTAATCCTTTACGCCTGCACATATATATATATATATATATATATATATATATATATATATATATATATATATATATATATATATATATATATATATATATATATATATATATATGTACGTATGCATATATGTTTATATAAATATATATACTAACATGTTTATATAAATACATATTATGTATATATAGTTTTTTTTGCATATGTATAATATACGCGTAAGGGATTAATAGTAAAACACGCAGACATTGAAATATCTACATAGTATATATATATATATATATATATATATATATATATATATATATATATATATATATATATATATATATATATATATATATATATATATATAGCGTTAACCTAGTATATATATATATATATATATATATATATATATATATATATATATATATATATATACATACTCTGTATATGTTTCCTGATGATCCACTGATGGAGAAACAAGTTGATGAAGAAAAAAATTAGATAAGTGTTTTAATAATTATATATATGTATGTATGTGTATATATATATATATATATATATATATATATATATATATATATATATATATATATATATATATATATATATATACATACATATATATATATATATATATATATATATATATATATATATATATATATATATATATATATATATATATATATATATATATATATATATATATATATATATACATTCATTAAATATATCAAATAAATAATTTGGTTTTTACCAGAGAAGTCGATTACTAACTGGGTATTATTCATATATAAAAAATCTCGAATCTGAGAAAATTGAGAGATTGCGTTTTTATAAATTGATATGAATAAAATTGAAATTTAATGCATAATAAATTTGTTTGTTTTTGCTAAAGTGCTAATATAAAAAATAGAATATAAAATGGAAAGTTCTTATTGATGGTTGTCGCTTTAAAACTAAAGAACAAAATGATCGTAAAGCTAATATTCAATTTTGTAAACGTGCGTGAGTTTGAAGTTTGTAAACAAGCGTTCATTTGAAGTTTGTAAACACGCGTAAGTTTAAACGATTAAAAAAAATGAATTATCTTTTTAATTAATATAATTTATGTCTTTTTTTTTTAACTAAATAAGTTAAATTTTTGTTTTAACGAACCAAATATTATCTGCTTCTTATTTTTTAATTTTTTTGTGTACGAATTTAATATAAATAAATATAAAATAAATAAAAAATTATAAAATTGAATTTTGTAAAATAAGTAATATTTAAAATATTAACATTCTTTCGCTTACAATATTTACTTAAAATTAAAAAATGTCAATAACATAAATTTTTCTAAAATAAACTTCTTGCCGTATTGGATTATAATTTATAAAGTGTTTTTGTTTGTTTTAAAAAATAATTTTTTTTTATTTTGTTTAAATATAAAATAAATTTTTACGTTGCCCCCTGTAGATGATGGGTAGCCTTACATTATTCCCTGCAGGAAACTATCAGTTATCCAACCGAGTGGGTATGATTCAAAATTCCACAAAAAGTTACATTTTATATTTTATATAAGCGTCGGCATAATAATGAGATTAAACATGGCAGAACATTAAACTCACTCAAACTTTGCTAAAACCAATTAAACATTTTTTTATCCTTGTTTGTATAGGAACCCGTCGCTTTTACGCATACAAAAATAGATAATGTACATTTTTGTCCAATCACGATAGGTATAAAAAGTTAAACAAAAAAAATGAAGTCAATACCACAGTTATTACCAAATTATTTCTTCATAGTTAGTAATTAATTTTAACATTTTTGAACTTGTAAATAAAATTACATTTTCAAATATTTTTTTAAGTTTTTCAATAAATTAATTTTATACCAGTTTTTATTATTTTTTTATCTTATCGATGTGAGGAAAACAAAACTTTTTATATCTGGGTTTGTATTAAATAATGCCAGCGCTAGAATTTTAGAGTTTCTTACCAAAAAATTTTAATTAGGGTCCCACCATTAAATTTTTATTTAGGACACCTCCATAAATGTTTTCCTAAACTATTTAAATAAACACCTACATTTAAATTACTACTTATTTTGGAGTTTGTGTAAGTAGACATAATTATTTGTATACCCTTATCTGTAAACAAAGTTTTAAACCCTCAATTAGACAAGTTTATATTATAATTTGAGTAAATGAGGTTTAAACTACAATGCTTCTTTTACAAAAAAAAAGTTTAACAGATAATAAAAAAAAAGCCGCTTCATTTTTTTGAAATGCTTTTTTGTACTTGTGGCAGAAATGCCAGATTAGTATTTTGGTATTTGTTTTAACTCTTAGAAAATTGAATGGAGATTTAACAAAAAATTGCTCACTCGTATTCTTCAAAGCAACAAAAGTAGTATTAATTTACGAAACATCAACGTGATATTTTCTTCGATGTTTTTAGTCGCATTTTTTTCAATACAAAAGTGAAATATTTAAATGCATTCACATTTACAGAATAATTGTTTATGGGTTACTCTTGTTCGTTTTCATGATCAACAATTTTGTATGGACTTTACTGTATCAGTTTAAATTTAATTTAACCATGTCGCAAACAAATAGTTATACATTTCGCGCGTTTCATCGTGCTCAAGCGATGAAAAATGCGCATGACGGAAGCACTTTAATTGACAGTCCAGAGATGCGTTCCTCAGAAAAGGATATTATAATACTGAAAACATTTGCTCGAAATAACAATTTGCCATTCTCAATAAAATTTAAAAAACAAAATGATAACGAAAACAATACTATATCGTCTGGGCATGCGCCAGAAACGAACAATAATGTACTTAATGGTAAAACCAATGTTTCAAGATCAGCTGGGGATCGTTTTCGTGCAGCAGGTATGAAAGCTAGATTTGCTCGACGAATGGAAAAGATTGTAGAGGAACGAATGACTGTAAAGCAGATTTTCAATCGATATGTTCAAACCTCGACGCTTCATGGATTTAGGTTTATTTTTATGGATACATTTATAGTTAGACGAGTATTATGGACAATATTAACACTTACTATGGCAACTATTTTTTTCAAAGAATTGAGAAACAGTATAAACTTGTTTTATGAGTACCCTTTTACAACTACGTCAACAATTCAATATGAACCTAGTTTAACTTTTCCAGCAATTAGTGTATGTAATCTGAACCATTTTTTACTTAGTAAAATAAAAAAAAGCAAACTTAAGCCTCTATATGATCAAGGACGTTTGCCTTTTGACAACAGTTTAGAAAATCCAGGATTCGATATTCAAGGAGAAGAACTTTATAGTATATTAAAAACTTCTTCACAAAGTATAGACGAAATATTTTTAAGTTGCGAATGGAAAAGTAGAGATACAGCTAAAAATGGAGTACCAAACCCATGCAAGCCAAACAATTTTACTGTGTATAGTGGCCTTTATGGTCAAAGTTGTTATACCTTTAATCCCGGTGTTTCTGGTTATCCTTTATTAAGTTTAAGTGAAACTGGAGTTAACATGGGGTTTAAACTAGAACTAGATTTGAAATCAAAAGATTCTCTTCAGGGAATTCAAGAAATTGGAGCTATAGTAATTGTTCACCATCAGCAGGAAACACCAGTTCTTCAAGCTGGTTTTGTTGTTTCACCAGGTTTTCAAACGTTTGTGGAAATAAAAGTGAGACAGGTATAAAAAAGTTATTTTATCATTAGGCTGTATTATTTAAGAGAGATATAACCCTCCTGTTATATTTAATTAAGTATAAATCAAGTTTTGGAACCTTAACTGGTAAAATAAGGCTTTATTAAAAAGGCAGCTTTCAAATTATAGAAAACGTAAAAAATATTTTTGGGAGTTGTTTAAAAAATTTTGACATCAGCTCTTAAACTATAAGCTCTAAAGTGTTACTAACAAAACAAAAAGCTTGATGTCAAATATTTTGGTTTACAAGTTACATAAAAGGTCTTCTGAAGAATGAGGAAGGCTTTTAAAGCTTCTAAAGTAGTTATTTTTATTACTTTTAATATAATTTTAATATGATTAATACGCTTTTTTGTCATATTTATGCGTACATCATTAGTTGTACATTAGCGTTAAACTCTATATTAAAACTCATTAAAGTTTGTTAAAATAATTAAGTTGCACAATTGCCGTGCAGTTTTATTATTACTTCAGCTGAGGCTGCATATTTCATCGAGAAACATTGATCCGAGGCTGCGTGTTCCATTGAGAAACATTAATCCGAGGGTATTTCAAGAACGATAAATTTATTAAAAGCAGTAATTTTTTTCACTACAAAGGTCATACACACAAACAAAGTTTTAATTAAAATCCGTAAACATGTTTAATGTTAACGGGTTTTAAAAAATAACCATGTTTAAAACCTTTTTTTTTTAAACATAACCATGTTTTGAAAAATAATTTTGTTTGGTTTATTTAAGGTTTTAATTAAAAAAACCATCAAATTCCTGTTTAAAAGCTATCTGTTAGAATTTAAGGCTACAGTTTTGTTTGTCATTTTAAGCTTTTTGTGTTGTCATCTGTATTACCCAATAAAAATCATAAATCCAAAGAAGATAAATTAAATTAAATTTCTCAACTCAAGTTAAAAATTTTAAAAATGTGTTTTTAATTAGACTGAAAATCTTCCTCCACCTTATGCAACAAAATGTGGATCTAAACCACTAAAAAACTATCAAATATACAGACAATCAAGTTGCTTTCTAGAACAACTCGGTGATGCTATAGAAACTAAGTGTAAATGCAAAAGCAGTTTTATGGCAGGTAACATTTTAAAAAATATATCAAAGTGTTAAAACAAATTTTTTTTACATATATACTAAAAATTTATTATTTTTTTAAATATTTTGTTTCATTTATAAACACTTCTGAAAAATAAATTATCTGGTTTTAGGAAGAAATATTCCGTACTGTTCGTTACGACAAACGGTTACTTGTCTAATGCCTACAATATGTAAGTGAAACTGCTTATTACCATTTGCAAATTTCTTCAAATGTAAAAACATCATATAATTTAATTACTTAAATGTTTTTTCATCACAATTGCAAAATTGGGACACCATTTTTGTTTTTTGAACTGGAAAATGGTTTTTAGCACTGTTTATACCTCAACTATAGTAACTAAAAGTCTACTCTTTATTATAATCTAGATGACTTTGATCGCAAGACTAACAATAATTGCCCAGTGGATTGCGAAACAATACAGTATCTCTCTTCATTAAGTTACGCTCGGTTTATTTCTAATGTTACATATTTATCTAAAAATGCCGAGCAATCAAGTTATATCCGTAAATTGAAAAATTCAATGTCTCCAAAGAAATTGCAAAAATATATTGAGTAAGTATGTATATTGGTTAATCCTTTGTGTTGTTTAATGTCATGATAATAACTGATTACACTCTAGGATTAAACTGTTATTTAGTATTTTCAAATATTAAATAACAATCTTATACTAGAGTATATTAGGTATTAGTTAAAATAAAATATAACAATTACTATATTTTGTTTTGACTTATACCTAATATAGAATACATAATAGACATAATAAATATAATATATATATATATATATATATATATATATATATATATATATATATATATATATATATATATATATATATATATATATATATATATATATATATATATATATATATATATATATATATATATATATATATATATATATATACATATATGTATATACATAAATTTTTTTGATTTTATTGGCTCATACTATATTAGTATATAAGAGATGTATGAGCTGAACAAGTTCAGCTAACTTATGACTATCATTACCTTCATCGACGGACCAAGAGTAAGTGAGCTTGAGGAAGAACAAAAGTAAATATATATATATATATATATATACATATTTACTATATATATATATATATATATATATAAGCAAAGTTATAGTGAACACTTTTAGCCACAGCATATACAATCGACAAACCTAAAAAGTTGTATAAGCACTCTTCTTCCATCGACAATCTAAGATCGCCAGATTACAAAAGATTGAAGTTTTAGACCTTCTAAAACTTTGCTCACACGAGGCAACATAAAATGAAATTGTGAGAAAAATTTGTAGAGCAATGTCTATGTTTGCATCAACTGCAACGAAGGAATATGAATGAATAAGTTGTAAAATACCCATAGGTTTAATTTTCTTTAAATTTATCATCATTGAATTAGCTTGATATTTAAACCTCATCACTTCAGCAACTAATTTTGTTTCACTCTCTATCAATTGTTCAAACAAAAAATTGAACAGAAATTCTTCGAAGAGAAAATCAAAATTTTTAAAAAATTTGTTCATTAACTTAAAGCGCCGCTGCATTTGAATTAAGATACAGTCAAACACGGAAATGCATTGTCTTTCAAATCCTCGTTCTGGTGTTAACAGATATCTATTGTTAGGAGCCTATTCAAGTGATACACGTTTGGCTTTCCGTAACCTCTTGTTTGGAAAATAATAACTTTTACATTTGAACGTAACCAGAAATAATAACTCTAAGATTTTTTGAAATAAAACTAAAACAAGAAACTAAAGATTTATTATTTTCAATTTTGGCCTCCTTTTCAGACTTGCACTGCCCTCACTACGGCACTTTAACCCAGAGTCATCTCTTATATACTAATATAATAGAGCTCTTAAATATTAAAGTAATAGAGCCAACATACGTAAAAAAAAAATTTAAGTTAAAAAGCTTGCAAAACGTGTTGTGCAATTTATTAAGTTGATAATCAATAAGTAGAACGGATAACCTTTCAAATGCTATGATAATTTTGATTTTTCTTTGGTTTCTTTCTTTAAATATAAAGAAACTGCCAAGTTAACCCTATGACTCACTCGAAGCAGGTTTTACGAGCAAAGACAAAAATTGATTATAGTATTTAGCTTCAGTACATCAGTTTCCAAAACATTTGAAAATTGATTCGTATTTTTTATTTAAATTTGTAGTAAATATACTTTATATATTTACGTATATATATATATATATATATATATATATATATATATATATATATATATATATATATATATATATATATATATATATATATATATATATATATATATATATATATATATATATATATATATAGATATATATATATATATATATATATATATATATATATATATATCGCAAACATTATATGCATGCTGTAATATATTTTATATATACTTCTATTAATTTCGCGATAAAATTTCTCTCTAAAATTAATTTGCACCATTTAAAAAAATATTATTTTAAATAATAATATGGTAGGTATGTCCATAACGCTTTATCAACATTAGATTAATCAAACTTTAAAAATAAAGGTCCTATCAAAAAAGCTAAAAATATTTGTTTTAACGTGCTTAGAGTAAGTTTTTATTTTGTTGTTTTTAAAGATATTCTTTAAAACTTCTTTGCTTCGACCACTGCACTTTAAACGCTCGGTTCAATGCACGCATTTCTAAGTTATTTAACATTTCTAATGGGAATATAGATAGCAGTGCTTCATTACAATGTGCAATTTGTTTTATATAAATCAAAATATATGTAACAAAATAAAATCTATAATATATATTATACAGTGGGTTTCATAAACGTGTACGCGCTTTTGATTTAAAATTGCCCGTAATTATCTTAAAAGATGTTTATTAAAAATATATACATTTATAAAGTTTAATTATCAATTTAGGTATATATTAAAAAAAGCATGGCTTCACAACTTTCGATCAATGAGAGAATTCATATTGTTATTTTATTTTCCGAATCCGAGAACTTTCAAGAGGTAAACAGGCAGTAAAAAAATCATTTTACCACCCTGCTACCTCATAAAACAACAATTCGAAGTTTGCTTGACAAGATTAAGGAAACAGTCAGTGTCCGCGATTTAAAAAGATTCAGCCTCTCTTGTTTTATTTTTATAGAGAAAGCTATTTAAAACATTAGAGAAATGGTGAAGAAGCAGATAGTTTTTCAATTCAAAAAATCGCTATTGAAATAGGGATTAGAACAAGTAGTTAATATCGTGATATTAAAGAGGTAAGCTTTTGATTATTCAGGCTAAATACAGTGCAAAAGCTAAGTAAAGATTATCTTAAAAAAATAATGGAGTTTGAAGATACGATGTCTCAAAGTATGAAAAAAATTCCAATTTGCTAAACAAGATTATTTAATAGCTGATTCACGCTAAAAAGTATTAAAAACTTTTACAATTGTTGCTATTGGGCGTATTCTAATTAGTACACCAAATACCTGCGCACAAACTAAAAATTGGATTTGGTGTGAAAACACCAGGTGGTGAAATGGTCTATATTTTTTCGAAGTTTCGATTACAGGCGATTCATATATACAATCAAAGAGCTTTAATGACTATAAGCAAAACAACGTGGTATGTACTTTTGCCTAGATAGGGTGTCTGCCCATTATTTCTATCAAGTAAGAAGCTGGCGTGATTAAAGGTTCCATTAATGACAGATAGCGAGGTTCTGTTAAAGATCCTGCTCGCTCTCCAGACCTTTTTCCTCTAGACTTCTTCCTTTGGGGCCGCTTGAAGAATATTGTATATTCTCTACAATTGGTAAACAATTGTGAGCGGATAAAAATGGAATGATCCAGTCATGTATATGGGATGATGCAGTCATGTGTAAAAGAATCTGCAAAAACGTAGTTGTTCGTTTGAAAATCTGTTAAAAGCTAGATGGTAAACAAGTTGAATAACCACAAATTTTATTTTTTTTATTTTGGTGAAAAAACTATTAAACAAAGTCATAAATACGTTCTATTTTTATTATTTAAGTATTTTAGATCAAAAGCATGTACACAACTTAAGAAGTACCCTGTAATGGCGCAAAAGGTGTTTTAGAAGTCGCGAACTGTTTTCTCTTAAATGGGTTTGAATATAGCAATGATCTGATATATGAAATCATCTTTTGGTGAACTAATTTATTCCTTTTTTTTATATGTTTTTTTTTATTACTACTTGAGCAAATTTACACTTAATGAAATTTTGTAATCTCCGTTTTAGATATTTATTTTATATTTTATTTTATTAATATAAATTAATAAAATAAAATATAATAAAAACAATAATAAAATAAACAATATTAACAGATAATGTATATGTACTTTATAGAAACAACTTTCTGGGGGATTCACATTCCGGTACTTTACACCCATCCTCTATAGTATCTATAATAAAATACTTCAACTACAATAAATTATAATAATATTCTTACATTTATTAAATTGCAGAGAAAATATTGTTGCAGTTCAATTTTTCTATCAAGAAATGAAAAAAGAAAAAGTAAAACAAGAACCCAGTTATGATTTTTACAAGCTTATTGGTAAGATTTAGTAATATTTAAAAATAAATAAATTTAGTGACTTAACAATTTCTTTTTCTGAAAATTGGGGCATATATGTAATTGGGGTGTAAATGTAATTGGGGCGTATATGTAATTTTAAAAAGAATCTAAATTTAGAAAAAAATTTGAAAAAGTTGATTTTTTATTTATTTTTTCAAATGTTTTTTTAATAATTATTCATTTTTAATAATTTTTGGTTTTATATTCAACAAAAACTTCATTTTTTTTTAATTTAACTCTTTTTTTTTTAAACAAGTTTTCATTTATAAAAGCTAATGAGTTTATAAAAGCTAATGAATTTTTCAGAGAGACTTTTAAAATGAAAAAGGTTCAAATTTTTGAAAATGTGTTCAATTTTTTTATTTCAAAAAAATATCGTGTTAAATGGGTAATGGGATTTTTGTGTCATACATTGGAAAATTCGACAAACTTAATATTTTAAAAGATAATGTGTTATAATAATTAGACAAACTTAATATTTTAAAAGATAATGTGTTATAATAATTATAATTTATTTTCTATAAAAAGATGTAAAATCACAATTTAATTTATCATGGTTTTTATAAATAAATAATGCTTCAAAGAAAACCCAAAACTATATAAAGTTAAAGGTGGTATAATAAGTATTATTTTAATTTTTTACTGTAAAATGTTTAGCATTAGCACTTTTATTTGAATTAAACTGTTTAATTTAACTAAAATTTAAATTTTTATGTTACAAAAATATTTTGTAAAATACATAAATACAAGTAAGCTATTTTTTACTGTTAAAATAAAAAATACTACACAGAGTCGGATTGAGACCATGTAGTATATACATAAATTAAAAAACAAAAACTCTATACGAGCGATCATCCTTAGCTATCCGATCCCCCCCCCCCTCCTTCCTTATCCTTAACCTACTTAACCTATGCATCCGCACTTGATGTTACATAAATCATTTTTTATTCAAATTTATATAAAAAAATCATATTTTGTAACAAAAAGCGTAATGCGTAATTTTGTTTAAAAAAATTGGTCACACATCCTTCTCACATCTAAAACATTTATTGTATGCTTACATGTTCCACACATCAGCCAAGACACCGGAGCCAAGGTTTACCACATATATCTAACAAAAAAAAACCGTTTGCAAAACTGACAAATTTTTAGCAGACTCTCTTCTCCAATAAAACAACATTAAACAATAAACCAATTATTAATGGGGGTCAATAAATAAATTGCCAATGAGGTATCATTTTAGAATCATCTCAAAGCTTTTAAAGTGCACTATTCTTTAGAGAGGTAAAATACCAGAAAAAACTATGTATTGATTTAACATTAACATGGGTATTTTAGTAACACAGAGGATGAAAACATAAAATTAGGGGATTTTGTATTTAAGATTTTTTATTTTTAAGGTTATTTTTTTTTCATTATTGAGGTCGAAAAGTAAGAACTCTGATTAGCAGGCTACTGGTGCGTTGATAAATATTTGGATCAATCTGCTTACTTTTTTGTATGTTATATGTCAAACTATATAAATTTGGTGAAAGTATATTGTTTTTAGGTTAGACTATTAGTAAGCTGGTGGACTGCCAGACAATGTTCTTTTAATAGTGAAAAGACATGGCTTTTATTAAACCTTTTGAGTTTAAAAAAAGAGTTTTGATGAAACTAATAGAATCTTTGAAGAGTAGATGATTTATTTGGCTTTTTATTACATTCGATTTCGAAATCTCAGAAGATTGAATTAATCTGGCATTTTAGATTTCTTTGTTTAAAACTACTTAATCTTCTCCTAATAAAATCAGTGCTGTCTCTCAGTCGGAAACCTGTCATTAGTTCAGAAGTTGTTTATTTTAAAACTTCAACTTCCTGTTAATGATTTAAAACACGAGTTTCCGGTTAAAGTTTTAAAACAAACTATTACTAAACTAATTTAAAAAATTTAAGCTATTTATTTATTTATTTTTTTCTCTAAAACAGTATCCACTGTTTGTTGGGTAAGATTAGGACACGTAATCCCGCTGATTGACATGAATATGACACGCAAACCCGCTATGATTTTAAGCCTAATCTAGCTCATCCCGTCTCTTTTTGAAAGTTTTGCTTGGATTGATTGATCACAAAATTATTTTAAAGAAAATTAAAGACGAATAACTTAGTTTTTAATTTAATTCAATCTTTTAATAATTTATTATCATAAAATATATAAAAACAGTGATAAAAACATATATAGTCTTTCTAGCATCCTGTTCAACTATTTATTTTTTATTTTTAGTTTTTCAAGCATCCTGTATAATTCTTTTTTTTTTTTTTTTTTTTCTACAAAAAACTGTTGAAAGTTTAAATGTGAATAAAACAAAATTGTTCAACTTTGGGCTGAGTTTTTTCTTTTTTTTTTTGCTTTTAATTTGTGTAAAAAGCAAAATAATGTTAAAACACTGTAAAATCATCTGTAGGATCACAGTAGGATCATCAAGGACTTTCTTATATTTAACTCCAAAATTTGAAGGTTTTATATATATATATGTATATATATATATATATATATATATATATATATATATATATATATATATATATATATATATATATATATATATATATATATATATATATATATATATATATATATATATATATATATATATATATATATATATATATATATATATATGTAAAAATCAATTTTTCTTTTTTTTGTTTGTTATGGTTTTATATAACTGTAACAAAATATACATAAATAAACATAACAAAAGTTTGTTTTTTTTTTAATTTGTTTTTTATTAAGTACACAATGATGACTATAACTTTGTAGTTTTAGTATAAAAACATGTTGTTTTTTTTGTCCATAACACCAAGATTTCTGCTGTTTGTAAGGGAGGAACTTAGTGTGCATTAAGATCCAACGAAAGCAACAATTAAATTAATTATACTGTAAAATTATTTAACTTTTATCTGGTTAGATGAAAAATCACATTTGTATTACGGGTAATAAAAATATTCTTAGCAAAAATATAAAGCAAATGCAACCTTAAAATCTGTAGAGGTTTGTAGAATTTTAATATTCTTTCAAGTTTACTCTTTAGTGAACTTTAAAGGTTGTTGTTGTCTATTGCTAGATCAAGGTCGTATGTAATAAATAGATCAAGGTGATATGTCATAAATATAATAGTAACTATTATGCTAAATGTGTGTATGCATGTATATGCTTATGCGTATCTGCATGTATTTATGCATGTGTGATTATATTTATATTCTAATTTTTATTAATAATTTTTCCTTTTTAAGATATTTAAAATCTAAATGTAACTTCAATATAGAACGTTTTTCTCTTTGATTAAAAAGCAGCGTGGCTAAGCTTTTTGCATAATGGCATTTTCCAACCAAATAAAAGTAAATTAAATCAAGATACAACTACAACACTCCATATAAAAATGCAAACCTCAGTAGGCGAGACTGGTTCTCCTAGGGACGCTTTTAGGTTAAAGAGTGTAATTTTTCATCGGTGAATATAATTGAACTTTTGAAAACTGTATATGAAAATATGGTCCTTTGTGCACTTTTGATGAGAATCTCTGCTTTATAATGTAATTTTTCAGTACTTTTTTTTAGCCTCAAAATGAGGTCTGACTTTGTCCCAAGGTACAACATGGGGTTGTACCAAGGGACATAGGTTGTTGTACCTAGGGACGCTGGGTAATCGAATACTCAGATTGGCTTCTATTGAGCTAATATTTATAAATAAAAAAGAACTTGTAAAAAATCCTGAAAAGAAACTAAAACTATGATAATGATCGTTAAAAGAACTATTTACTTGTAGTGAAGGTAACAATATTATTTAAAATAGTTAACACTAATAAATAAAAAATAGTGAGATCAATTTTTTCCAGAACAAACAAATATTTAAATTGTAAATAAAGATTACATTTAAAATTTGCTTTGATGTTTGTGGCTCGATAAATATTTTCTTGATTAAGGTACATGTCCCTCGATAGATGTCCCTAGGTACAACAGGGCGCTAAATTGACAAAAAACGACGACTAAAAATTTGAGGTTAGGATTTTAGAGATACTATTAACGCAAACAAAATAATATATTCGCATAAACTAAGAAATATTATGTTAAATACATTATAAGGGCAAAATTAAAAAAGAAAAATGTTTAAAAACTTACGTAAAAGAGTTGTAAAATCAATTTTTAATCAACACTTTGCAACGCTTCACACCAACACGATGACACTTTGGCTGTCAACTGACCTCAAGTGGTGGAGTGTTGTCACATGCAAAAAATATTTTGCTCTCATACAAAATTCTCAAAATATTTGAGTGTCTCTAGGTACATGGCGTCTCTAGGAAAACCAGTCTCCCCTAATGACATTCACACAAACAACGGTATGCAAGTAGTTTCAAGAAAAATTAAATTAGGCATAATCAGGCATAAAAATCACGTTACTAAAATTTGGTACTGTTTGGTCACTGGCAATGCAAACCAACTTGTCTTCCAAAGAAATAACTTTTATAAAGTTAGTTTTTAGAGTGGTTAGATTTTTCTGTTAAAACTGAAGTTTTTTTAAAGTTTTCACTGTTTTAAAAACAGGAATTTTTTTTTAGAAACTTTGCATACTGTAAAACGGGTTTTTTAAAATCAATACACTAAAGTATATCTGAAACCCTAAAGGTTAAAAAGCTCGTAAAAATGAGCGTAATCGCTGAAGGCGCCGTAGCTTATTCGAGTAAAGAAGATTTAGTTAACTACTTTTAGAGTTTTTATCAAGTTTTTAGCCTTCTATCAATGTGTAATATAACGCCTTATATCTAAGTATAGTATAATGCCTACTATTAATGTATATTACAACTCCTTCTTTTAATGTATAATATAACACCTTCTTTCAGTGTGTAATATAACTTCTTCTATCAATGTGTATATATATAAGATAACGCCTTCTATCAATGCATAATATAGCGTCTTCTATCAATGTGTAATATAACATTTTCTATCAATGTATAATATAACACCTTCTACCAATGTATAATATAAGGTCTTCTATCACTGATAACATCTTCTATCAATAACTGTATAAAATAGCTAATTAATTGCATTTCTTTTTTGCCTCTATTAATTTTTTCTATCTTTTTATTTTACTTCATTTGAGTATTGGTTTTCTTTTATTAAATCTTCCAAGCTTTAACTAGTAATGTAAACGTCAATAGAGCAGAAGCAAACTTATTTGAAACAAATTTTGGAAAATTAAAACTAAATTAGAAATCAAATTTACATTTAATATATATATATTTTTTTCAACCTAATATTCAAACGCAACAAACACTTTAGGATGGTAGAATCCCAAAACGAACTTATCGGCATTCTTTCCGCCAATAACCACCGCTAATGAATTTTGTATAATACGAGAACAGCTGTAAAATTTCAAAGAGCTAAATTTTTTGGTTGAGTATATATAAACACTAGTAAGTTTCAGAAAGAACTTATTTAACAATTATTTAATTTTTTTTCTTTAAGGTGATGTCGGAGGTCAACTTGGTTTGCTGTTGGGTGCAAGTGTTTTAACTCTCGTTGAGTTTGTAGACTTATTTATTTTTACCCTATATCATCAGCTCCTGCGTTTGTCAAAAAAGAAATCATGACGTAATGTACAAATTAGGTAGAAATCATGACGTAATATTAGATAAAACTGTTGACATTTTAACTATGACTTTACAAGATTAAAGATGCAAAAGCTGTAAGCTTGAATTTAAAACAACCTTTAAATACCTTCTTAATACATCCTCTGCTACTCCCTTAAAAGGGCTCTGGCTAAATTACAATATAAATACCTGAAACAAAGAGAGAAATTATTATAATAATTTTAAATTGTTTATTATAAATACTATTACCACTATTTATTGTTTTTATTGTTAATACCAACACAACTTTTAATTTATTGATACTTATAACTATGTGTTATTTTTTTCTTTGTTGCTTTTGTTTACTGAATCTTGAATTCCCAAAGTTGTATTTTTATTATGAATTCTCTTTTTAAGAATTATTTATTGATAGCATTTTATTTAAAAATAAAATATTTTCATGGCTAATATTGTTTTTTCTTTTAATTGAAGCTGAAATCTGATGTTTTTGCTTAAAAAAATTGACAATTATTAAAACTAACAGTGTTTATCTTCAGTAGTAGGTTATTACTACTAATCTAAGGTTATTTAACGAGAGTAATACCACAAGATTAAGGATTGAGCAGCAAGAGGGGCTAGTTCTTTGCATTCACTTGAACTATTTTTAATAAAACATATTTATACTTTGAAACGGTTGGTTTTTTAAAGTTTAAATATAAATGATAGATTAAAGTACTTAATAATTTTATTATTTTAATATAAATTTTTAAAAAGTTTAAAACTCAAGTACCTTGAGTTCCTTGTGCTAAAGTACAATTAGAGTTACAGTAATAATTAAGATCTTCGCATAAATCAACTATCGTATAAGTGAAAAAAAAAAATTATTTAACAAAAGTTATTGAAACTGTTAATGGATTTTTTGGGTTTAAACACTTTTTTTTTGTTCAAGCAATCATGTTCTGTACAAACTATTATAGATCAGCATTTGTAAGGATTTAATCTATGGTAATCTTGGTTAATCTATGTTTTCATGTTCTACTCAGTGGCGGATTAAGGTTTAGCGTTGTGGGGGAGCAGAAACATTTTTTTTGAAAATTGCACTTGTGATAAACATATTTTATCGATGGTTTTATGTGCCTTTTATCAAAACTATAAAGTACGTCTAAGACACTAAACAATCTATAATTTGAGTTTAGTTAACAATTGCTAGTTTAGTGCTAAGTTTAGTTAACAATTGTTGTTATAAAAAAAGAAACATTTAATATTAATGCAACGGTTTGGCTATTTAAAAATATATTTACACTATATCTATTACTGAAAGTAAGCGTTATGAAAGAAAGAAAGTAAGTGTTATGAAAGAAAGAAAGTAAGCGTTATGAAAGAAAGGAAGTAAGCGTTATGAAAGAAAGAAAGTAAGCGTTATGAAAGAAAGAAAGTAAGCGTTATGAAAAAAAGAAAGTAAGCGTTATGAAAGAAAGAAAGTAAGCGTTATGAAAGAAAGAAAGTAAGCGTTATAAAAGAAAGAAAGTAAGCGTTATGAAAGAAAGAAAGTAAGCGTTATGAAAGAAAGAAAGTAAGTGTTATGAAAGAAAGAAAGTAAGCGTTATAAAAGAAAGAAAGTAAGCGTTATGAAAGAAAGAAAGTAAGCGTTATGAAAGAAAGAAAGTAAGCGTTATGAAAGAAAGAAAGTAAGCGTTATAAAAGAAAGAAAGTAAGCGTTATGAAAGAAAGAAAGTAAGCGTTATGAAAGAAAGAAAGTAAGTGTTATGAAAGAAAGAAAGTAAGCGTTATAAAAGAAAGAAAGTAAGCGTTATGAAAGAAAGAAAGTAAGCGTTATGAAAGAAAGAAAGTAAGCGTTATGAAAAAAAGAAAGTAAGCGTTATGAAAGAAAGAAAGTAAGCGTTATGAAAGAAAGAAAGTAAGCGTTATGAAAGAAAGAAAGTAAGCGTTATGAAAGAAAGAAAGTAAGCGTTATGAAAGAAAGAAAGTAAGTGTTATGAAAGAAAGAAAGTAAGCGTTATAAAAGAAAGAAAGTAAGCGTTATGAAAGAAAGAAAGTAAGCGTTATGAAAGAAAGAAAGTAAGCGTTATGAAAGAAAGAAAGTAAGCGTTATAAAAGAAAGAAAGTAAGCGTTATGAAAGAAAGAAAGTAAGCGTTATGAAAGAAAGAAAGTAAGTGTTATGAAAGAAAGAAAGTAAGCGTTATAAAAGAAAGAAAGTAAGCGTTATGAAAGAAAGAAAGTAAGCGTTATGAAAGAAAGAAAGTAAGCGTTATGAAAAAAAGAAAGTAAGCGTTATGAAAGAAAGAAAGTAAGCGTTATGAAAGAAAGAAAGTAAGCGTTATGAAAGAAAGAAAGTAAGCGTTATGAAAGAAAGAAAGTAAGCGTTATGAAAGAAAGAAAGTAAGTGTTATGAAAGAAAGAAAGTAAGCGTTATGAAAGAACTTTACTTTCCTGCTAGTTAATACAAATTTTTTTCTGCGAGATTTATTTCAAACGGGTACAGAACATTATTTAGGCGTCTTATGAACATCATACGGACTTATGATGCCTATAAGGCGTTGTATAGATGTCACACGGACAACTATGCCTACTGGGTTGAAGCAAAATGATTTATTGATAAATTAAAGTCAATGAAAAAAAAAAATTTGCACGAGTAGGTTTCTAGTTAGCAGGGGATGCAAAAAGAGTTTTTGCCAAAAAAAATTTTAACACATAAAAACAAATCTAAATTGCTAGATAATGTTGAAATCAGTTAATTTATAGTTTTGTGTTTTTCTCCTTTAAAAAAAAAAGTCGTTTACCGTTTGCAAAGTCATTAAATTTTTATGAACATCTATCACTGTAAAGTCACAGTATTTTACAGTAATCATGTTAGTAATGGTATTTTCTTATAACAAAATGTCTCTGTTTTGTTTTCTGTAATAAATGCGGGCAAATTTGCAAAGCGGCTATGCAAAAGATGGTTTGTTTTTACTTAGTTTTTTATTTCCTTTTAAAATAAAGGCATAATTTTGTAATAAGTAACTTATGTTTTAGAGGGCGCCATTTTACTGACTTAAAAAGTGCGAAGGAAGTGCAGTAGCTCCCCCCCCCCCTACGCCCCTTGCTGAATCTGCCACTGGTTCTACTGTTTGCAGTTTTGAAGTATTTTTTACCAGTAAATGTATCGATATAATTTTTGCGCGTTTTTCTACACAGTCGTAGAAAGTGTGGAGTTTTCCTCCACACCAGTGCGTAGCTATCACTCCTAGACAAAAGTGTGGAGTTATTTTGCACAATTTTGTGCAAATAACTCCACACTTCTGTGCAGAAGTTGAGTTAAAAAAAGTTAATTTCCACAAAAGTGTGCAAAATAACTCCACACTTGTGTCTAGGAGTGATAGTTACACACCGGTGTGGAGGAAAACTCTACACTTTCCACGAGAGTGTATACTTCTGTTCGCATCTTTATAACACTTTGTGTCATTTTGTATTTACTATATTCTATATTTTTTATTTATAAACAAATTAACAAAATTTTAAGAATATTTTTTAACATTCGAAAAATTATTTATGTTTTAGCAGTTGAAACAAAATCTTTAAAAAAATAATTTTCTGCAGCTTTGTTTTTAACACAACTTTTATCGTAGGGAAAGTCTTGCAGTTTATGACAAATCATTATTATTAATATAACTCTCTAACTTAGAATGTAGAAAATGCCCTAAGAAGGTAGAAAATACCCTACTGAGAGTATATCATATATCCTACCCTAAGATAAATTTTTTTACCTTTTTTTTTTAGAGTTTTAACTTAATTTAATTAAGATAACCTATTTCAAAAATTAGGAAACACCACAAAAGATTCAATTATCAGTTTGAAAAATGTGTTTTTAAACACATATTTCAAACTGATATTCAAATATTATAGTGAAATAATTTATAAATAAATAGCATGAGAAAATATAAAATGTTATTATGAATAAATATTTGATATTGTTTTTTAATAAAGTAAACGTTCATATTAATTATATAATTTCTACTGATAATACATTGGTAAACTGTCGGAAGCCTCAGTATGATATCCGTTAATAAAAAAGTGTCTGCAATAACTATTGCCATTATTTGTTAATAGTAACAAATTCAAAAGATTATGTATAAATAATGTGTCACACGACGCAAATAAAATATTTTATAATGACTTCCTATTTTGCTATAACCTGTAACCTTAGTTACAGGTAACGTAGTAACCGGTAACGTTAGTAAGCGCGTGATAGTAGTATGTTTATTTATTTTACTGCGTCATTATAAATATATTTGGATTTATAAAATTATAACAAACAGACGCCAAAATCGAATGACTCATATAACTTGCGGTGCTCCTCAAGGCTCGATTCTTGGTCTTCTCCTTTTTTTAATTTATGTAAATGATATATAAGAGTATCTAACTTAAAAAACATCATGTTTGCTGATGATGTTTATTTGCATCAAACCTTAGCATTACGAAACTGTTCCACGAAATGAATAAAGAACTTAAGCTTATATCTAACTGGTTTAAATGTAATAAATTAATTTTAAACATAGACAAAACAAAGTATATTTTGTTTCACCCATTGTTGAAAATTTTTGCCAAACGTTATGCCAAAACTATATATTGATAAAATTGGAGTAAAAAGAGAAACCGCCACAAAGTTTTTAGGAATAATTCTTGATGAAAATATTACATGGAAAACTCATATTGACTACATTAGCAATAAAGTTGCTAAATGTATTGGCATCCTATTTAAGATCAGATTTTTTAGATAAAAAAAGTTTAATGCAACTCTACTACTCCTTTATACATAGTTATATTAACTATGCCAATATTGCTTGGGGAAGCACAAGCAAAAGTAATTTCTTTATCGTCATCAGAAACACGCCATGCGTTTAATATATTTTAAAAATCGTTCAACGCATTCAAATTTTTTATTTAAAGATGCGAATGTCCTTAATGTATATCAACTCAACATGTATAAAATTTTGTGTTTTTGTTTTAATGTAAAGTTTCATTGTAAAGATGGCTCAGTACTATCTATTTTTAAAGATTTTTTTATCAAAATAATAAACAAGTATACTTTGCGAAATGATAATTTTTCAAATGAACCACTATGTCGTACAAAGTTTAATCAATTTTGTATTAGATATCGTGCACCTTATCTCTGGAACAAAATTGTTTTGAATAATTTTGATTTATCAACTTCATATAAACTTTTTAAAAATAAACTAAAAAAAATTATTTTTTCTATTAACGATATAATGAATTACTTCTAATATGCAATAAAGCATTGCATAATATTTAATTTTTTGCTGTTATTGTTGCTTTTACGCTTTTAAAAGGTTCTGACGACAAGATCAATGAGATCTTCTATCAGAAACTTTGCTTATATTTGTAAAGTTTTTATTTATAAAGTTATTTATATAATTGCATTACGATTTAAATAATTGTAAAC